TGTCCCAAATTTCTTGGACATTTTGGTTCATGACTTTGTTGGCTTTAGTGTTTTCTTTGACTGATGAATGTATTTCTTCTACTGTATCTTCAACGCTAGAGATCCTCTCTTCCATCTCTTGCATTCTGTTGATTATACTTGCATCTGAAGTTCCCAATCGTTTTCTCAGATTTTCTATTTCCAGCATTCCCTCTGTTTGTGTCTTCTTCATTTTTTCTATTTCCCTTTTCAGGTCTTGGACTGTTTCCTTCATTTGTTTCATTGATTTTTCTTGATTTTCTCTCAGTATTTTATTGTTTTCTTCCAGGACTTTATTGATTTCTTCTAATTTGTTTGCCCTTTCCTCTAGTTGTTTACAGCGTTCTTCACATTTTTTTGTCTTTTCCTCTACGCAAGCCTCTAGCTTCTTCATGATGTCATTCATAAGGCTGTTTTCTTCTGCTTCTTCTAATTTCTGATGTTCAGGTCTAGGTGTTGGAGGAGGGCTAGGGCCTGGTGATGCTGTATTGCTATTCATTTTGTTGTATATGTTTCTGCCTTGACGTCTGCCCATCTCCTTGTGGTTCGTTCTTGGCCTTATCCGCACACTTGGTTCAGACAGACCAGTGTTCCAAAAGGGAAGTCAGTGTTCCAAAAGGGAAGTCCGGAGCAAGATGGGAGCTGGGGGCCGGCCTCTAAGTCTCAGGAAGAGGCTTGGGGCTCAGGCGGATGGGCGTGGGGGCAGGGCGTGGAGACTGCAGGGTCTGCCAGGGGTCTTGGAGAAGGGGATCCTTCCTGGTGGGGCTAGCAGGGAACCTGCCCGGTGGCCAGAACCTGGGGCCGAGTTGGGCAGGTCTTCCCTGGAGTGGCTGGTGCCCAGGGATGGGGTCTGGGGCAAGGAAGGGTACTCACGAGTGTTCCAAAAGGGACGTCTGGAGCAAGATGGGAGCTGGGGGCCGGCCTCTGAGTCTCAGGAAGAGGCTTGGGGCTCAGGCGGATGGGCGTGGGGGCAGGGCGTGGAAACTGCAGGGTCTGCCAGGGGTCTTGGAGAAGGGGATCCTTCCCGGTGGGGCTAGCAGGGAACCTGCCCGGTGGCCAGAACCTGGGGCCGAGTTGGGCAGGTCTTCCCTGGAGTGGCTGGTGCCCAGGGATGGGGTCTGGGGCAAGGAAGGGTACTCACGAGTGTTCCAAAAGGGAAGTCCGGAGCAAGATGGGAGCTGGGGGCCGGCCTCTAAGTCTCAGGAAGAGCACAGTATAAATTCTTATCTTAATAGTGAATTGTTTCATTGAGGCTTGCCCAGTGATTGAATAAAACCAAAACTTATTATAAGCCACAGTCATCCTAGGGTCCCCCCCTGCAATATAGCCTCCCTGGTTCTGTGGGTTACAGTCTGATTGCTCTTTGCTTTATGTCTAGAATCCACTTATGAGTGAGTACATACCATGTTTGTCCTTCTGGGTTTGGGTTACCTCACTCAGGATGATATTTTCTAGTTCCATTCATTTGCCTGCAAATTTCATGCTGTCATTGTTTTTCTCTGCTGAGTAGTACTCCATTGTGTATATGTACCACATTTTCTTAATCTATTCTTCAGTTGACGGGCATCCAGGTTCTGGCTATTACAAATAGTGCTGCTATGAACATAGTTGAGTATGTATCTTTGTGGTATGATTGAGCATTCCTTGGGTATATGCCCAAGAGTGGTATGGCTGGGTCTTGAGGTAGATCGATTCCCAATTTTCTGAGAAACCACCATACTGATTTTCACAGTTCTTGTACAAGTTTGCACTACCACCAACAATGGAGGAGTGTTCCTCTTGCTCCACATCCTCTCCAACATAAGCTGTCTTCAGTGTTTTTGATCATAGCCATTTTGACAGGTGTTAGGTGGTATCTCAGAGTCGTTTTGATTTGCATTTCTCTGATGATTAAGGATGTTGAGCATTTCTTTAAATGTCTTTCAGCCATTTGTGATTCTTCTTTTGAGAATTCTCTGTTTAACTCGTTAGCCCATTTTTTAATTGGATTGTTCAGTATTTTGATGTCTAGTTTCTTGAGTTCTTTATATACTTTGGAGATCAGTCCTCTGTCAGAGAGCAGAGGCAGAGGCAGGCAGAGCGGCAGCAGAGACGTGGTCGTAATAAAGACCAGAAACTGAGCTATTACCCGCTGAGGAGCCAGTGAAAACAAGGAGATTAATTAAGAGCTTGGAGCAGCCTCCATCAGCCACTGGACAAAGGTTCTATGATAACAGCTAGGTTATTTGCTAGGCTGGCCACCAGAGTAGACTGGTCCAGGCCCCCTCTGGACCACTGCCAGCAGACCAAGGTGGGGTAAACCTTGTGAATTCCTGAGAGTCTCCCCAGCACCCTGCCTCTTCCGATTCCCATAATATCCTCATCTATCATGTATCTTCCTCCCTGCCCTTCCACTCTGTCCCTGTTCCAGCTTGACCCTCCCATTTCCCTATGTTCTCATCCCCCACTCTTTGCCCTCTGCCATCCCCCGCCCACCAGTCCACTCATGTAGATCTCATCCACTTCTCCTTCACAGGCAGATACAGAGATCCATGGCCAGGCACCAAACTGAGCTCCGGGAATCCAATTGATGAGACAGAGGAGAGATACTGCAGGTGAGGGACGTTGAGATCATGATGGGAGGAAGTGCAGAGATGACAGACCACACTAGTGGAAGCCCATGAACTGTGGACTGGTGGCTGTGGATCCCCCATGGGACTGGACTAGGCCCTCTGGATATGGAACATGGTTCTTTAGCTCAAACTGTTTGGGGGGCACCCAGGCAGGGGGATCGGGATCTGTCCCTGATCTATGGGTAGGCTTCTGGAATCTGGTGCCTGTGGTGTGACACCTTGCACAGCATTGGTGCGGTGGGAAGGGACTTGGACCTGCCTAGGCTCAGTGTGCTGGGCTTTGCTGACTCCCCATGGGAGACCTCGATTTGGGGGATGTGGGGTGCCTTGGGAAAGAGGGCTGGGGGTGGGAGGAGAGTAGGAGGGGAGGTTCTATGGATAGCATGTGGAGTGAGTAGAAAATTTCTTAATAAAGAAAAAATGGCAAAAAAAAAAGATTAAAAAGTTTCTAGTTCCTGGTCCACAAAAAAAAAAAAAAAAGCTTGGAACAGGGACGTCTTTAATCCCAGCACCCGGGGAAGGAGCCATCTCCATGGGATGCAACCAGAATGGATCTGAATGAACACTCTGTCTGAGGCCAATCCAGAGCCCAGCCTCCGATCCTGCGAAACTCAACAACTTGGAGGTGATGGTGAGATTGATTACCCTACTAAACAACCTGCTCAGCTGAGATCCATTCGGGAGAGGATTCAGAATCCTACAGTCTGCGGTCTGAGGAAATAAGATTAGCTGAGGAGTTGATGAATGAGCAAAACATGACCTGAGAACACAAAAGAAGGCACCGCCCAACCACTGAACCAGATCACCAGAATCATAAGCCTGTACTACACTGACTGGGAACAGGTAAGCCCTCATCTCCAGACCAGCAGATTAGGTCTCTAGCACCTAGGCCCTATCCATCGGAGTCCCAGGGACCAGACAGCTACCTTTCCCTGCTCCCTCACCAAAAAAAAACCCCAAAAAACAAAAAAACACAACAACAACAAAAAAAAGAAACAAAAACAAACAAACAAATAAACAAAACCCCCAACTCCTATGAACCTAACAAACACTGAAACCATAAGCACACCCTGCACCAACTGGGAACAACTGCTCCCTGAGACAGAACCCGCTAACACTGATTGGACTAAGCTGCTCCCAAAGAAACAGAGCCCAACAGCACCGATTTAACTAAGAACTCCTAGTGGACCAAGACTGACAATTAGGTCAAGAAAGGTACCTTCAGACACAGACACTGCCTGCACCGAGCAGAGCAAGAGATTAGTAGACGCCAGTGCAAAAATACAGGCAACAACATAAAGACCTACATGACAACATTGGAACCTAGCGATTCTACACCTGCTTGGGTTTTATGTACCAGATATGACTTTCCTCCTGCTCAGAAGGCATGCTTAAGTCCAGTTAGACAGCTGTTGGCCACCAACCACCAGGATATGAGTGCTACTCTTGCACCTTTAGTGATATCTTGCAATGTTGGCCATTGTTGTGGTTCACAGCTGGGTAGGACTATTGAATGCTTTCCTCCCTTGGTAGCTAGCATAGCACCTTCCAGTGTTATGAAAGCTAGTTCTCAAGAACGAGTTTTTTTTTTTGGAGGGGAGTCAGATCCAGCTGAATTCCCCCAAGTCCTGTATTTCTGAGAATGCAGTGTCTTTAGCAGTACAGATTCATCCTCAACTTATTGGAGGCAATAAAGGGTAACAGCAATAATCTACATTGTTTTAGAAGTCTATTGGATTCCCCTGATCAACAACTCTAAAGGAGGTTTCTTATGCCTGGAAGAGGAGTTTTTGTTAGAAGGGGCATTATCACTCCAACTTCATTTAAGTGATATACATCTACACACATATACTTCTATGATATCTATGTATTTCTTCATATATATATCATATATAATCCTACTAGTGCTATATAGCATATATATATGTATTGAATACCTATATAGTCTGTATTTCAAAGAGACATTATTTAAATGTTTAATGCAACACTGTTTACAATAGCCAAGCATAGAAATAAGCTAGGCATCCATCAACAGTTATTGGTGGGAAACCACGTGGTACATACAGACAACAGTCCACCATTAATACAAAAAAAGAATGTAATTTGCAGCAGCATTAATGGAATCAGTGCATATTATATTAAATTAAATAACACACTCAAAAATAGCCCACAAATGGAAGTTTCTGTCCCACCAGCAACTCCCAAATACCCAGCAGCCACTTCCAAAATTACCACACAGAGGCTTATATTAATTATTATTTTTATTATTTTTTGCTGCTTACATACATTTATTAATGTCACATTGTAAATGGTACTTAGGTAAGTGTACAGTGATGTTCCATGTTCCCACCTAACACAGCTTGTTTAAGTTTAGCCAACAGGATTCATCATGAGTGGACTCAGGGAATGATGGCCATGGGCAGGTGCAGGACTGGAGCCTTTCAAAGCTTTACTTCTTTTATCAGCACTCCTGATTTTATAAATGATGAAGGTCATTAACCCCATTCCCATCCAAATTTCCTGGTAAACCTGGGTATAGTAGGGTTTCATGGCGACCCAGACATTCTTAGTAAGGCTTTGAAGCATCTCAGCAAGACAAAGGCCACAGGCCACAACAGAATCCACTAGAAGGGGAAAGGTCACTGAGCACACAGGCGCCATGCAGGGCATTAATCATAAATGCTCAGGGTTATTACTAACTAGCTCTTACACTTAAATTAACCCATAATTCTTATTTATGTTTAGCCATGTGGCTTGGTCCCTTTTTTTCAGTATGGCATTCTCATTTTGCTTCCTCTGTGTCTGGCTGGCTACTTCTGACTCTGCCCTTCCTCTTCCCATCGTTCTTATATTTGGTCACCCCACATATACTTCCTGCCTGGCTACTGACCAATCCGTATTTTATTAAGCCAATTCGAGTGACAAATCTTTACAGTGTACAAGAGGATTATCCCACAGCAATAGCCTGTTCTGTCGCATATGTGAATGCTACAATTTTGTTCTCAGAAAGGTAGGCAATAAAGTGATTGTTATCTAATCTGGAAAGAATATAGAGCAGAGGAGGATGGAGAGGGCACAGTTCATGGGTACAGCATTGCAGTTACACAAGAACAGCTTCTGCTATAAAGTACACTAATCTAACTATACCTGACAATAAACAGTTAAAATTTCCAAAGAGGAAGCAACATGGAATTTTAATGTTCAAGACAAGGAAATGATGAGTGTTTGAGACAATGGAACACAAGTGACAATGACATGGCCTTTATATATGTATTGAGATGTTAATTATACTCTATGAAAACATACAGTTATGTGTCACTTAAATGACAAGAAATGTCATGTTTGTTTCTGGCATTCTATAAAAGCCACATTATTTTAAATCTGGCCCTTACTCAGGTTTAGGGGCAAAATCCATGTGTAGTGGCATAGAACCTCAGATTGTTGGAAACATTTTTGCCTGGCTTTATGGATTTGTGAGACACACATTTTTATCTTTCTAAAATCTTGACATTGTCATACATTCAAAACTTGAGATAATTATTCAGAGGACCTTTCTTACTTTCAAGGTCTTGCTGGAGATGGTAGGAAGCAGAGCTGGGTTTAGTTTTGAAACTTGCAAATACTATCTCCTTTTGTTTTCTACAGTCTTCTTTAGAACTTGACAGTACATCATTTCAATCATTTTTCATCAATGTCCTATGATGCTATGTACTGGAGCACTCATTATTCTACCTGGAAATCATAGCAGAAAAAGTTATGTACATTTTCTATTTTCTATATTACAGCAGGTGGCAGCAATGCCATGCTTTTTCAGTAAACATTAAGAAATTATTTTTCCATATCTAAGATCATTTTGTCCCATTTAACAATTACTTGTCCTAGAGTGCCTTCCAGTGGTCATTTTTATTCTGTTGCTAAAACCATTGCCATATATTATAAATATTTGTTATTGGACATTATACTTTGAGATGCCACCTTTATTCTAATTATTATCTCTTGCTATGTGGCCTAAGATTCTACATTTCCTTTCCTGCCTTAAAAAACCCCTTCATTTTGTTATTTTAAAAATTATTAGTTTAGGATTCAGTGAGGCTTTGACTGTGTACTTTTCCTGTGGTATGTGGCATGGGCTGAATATGTTCTGTACTATTTAGTTTGTACCTGAACTGTACACATTTTTAGTTTAGGTACAAACTAAATAGTAACTAAGAACAGATTTGCAATTTATTACTTGTAGCTAAGATCTTTAGTCTGTAGGGGCTCAAATATTCCTTATCACATCTCGTTCATGGTATGTTGGAAGTGACTAAGGGAGCCACTGAGTCCACCATATGTTGTCCACTTAGAAACAAGGACAACTTCATTCTTAGGGCAGTCAAACTATGCAGGATGCTTAAGGATGCTAAGGGTAGAAATCAGTTGTCAATCAGTAAAGGGTTTGTCCAGAGCTGAGACAATGTCATTTCCACAATCTTCTTTAGGACAAGGCAGTCTCATGGCTATACATTTTCCTCATAGGATTGGTTTAGTTGTATTTGTACGTTTTTAATATTCTTTGCTACTTTGTCTAAAATTTGCACATTTCGGTTACAATTGCTTCTCTCATTTATGGCTTCTTGAAACATTGTTGATACCGATACTTTCTCCAGACATCTGCATTATATTTTTATATATACATTTATTCTGTTTTACACTCATTGAGACCAACTTGTACTACTCATATGTCTTAGTAACATTTCAATTGCTATGATAAAACACCATGATCAAGGCAACTTATAAAAAAAGCATTTAATTGGGCTTACAGTTTCAGAAGTTTAGAGTCTACAAAGGTAGAGCAAAGGCATGGTGGCAGGAACAGCTGAGAGCTCACATATTGATCTGAAAGCAGGAGGCAGAGGGATGGCACACTGAGAATGGCACCAGCTTTTTGAAACCTCAAAGCCTGTCTCCAGTGATACACCTCCTCTGAATCCTTCCCAAATAGTTCTAGAACTGGGATCACGTATTCAATTATGTGGATCTATGGGGGGCCATTCTCATTCAAACCATCCCATCATATATTCTTTAATGTGTGACTTTTCACTAGAATGTGGTTGATTTTGATTTCTTGGTTGTCAACTTGAGTAACTCCAGAATTAACTAAAATCCAAGCAACTGGATATACAGGTGAGGGATTTTCTTAAATTATTTGAAGTAAGAAGACTCACCACTAATATGGATCTTTTGAGGTAGAAATATCCACCTTTAATATGGGCCACATCTTCTGGCTGCAACCTATATAGATGAAATGGAAGAAGAAAGCTTTTGCTCTTTGCCTGTTTGCCCTCAATCTTGCTAGCAATTCCATTGCTTCACTGGCTTTAGAGTCTACATTTTTTGGGATTCTGTTGCACACTGAAGACCAGCTGAGATACCCAGCCTCACAGATTGAACAGCTACCGGATTTTTTGACTTTCCATTCGTAGACAGTACCCCAGTACCTAGCTGTACCCCAGTCTTTAAGACACTGTGATAAATCCCTTCACACACACACACACACACACACACACACACACACACATTCTCTCTCTGTCTCTGTCTCTTTCTCTGTCTCTCCCTCTCTGTCTCTCTGTCTCTGTCTTTCTGTCTCTCTGTCTCTGTCTCTCTCTCTTTCTCTCTCAGTCTATTCTGTTTCTTTAGAGACCTCTGGCTAATAAATCAACTTAACAGGGCATACATTCTTAAAGAAAATTGACTTTCTCTCCCCCAGAAGCTATGAAATGCAACTAGGTCCTATGGTAGGGGTGGGAATTGTGCCCATCTCTTCTCTCCATGTAGGAATTTGGTCTTGCTTGTATTTGTTCAGGTCTTATTGTGTTATAACAACTGAGTTCATAAGTGCAGCTGCCCTGCTGTGTCCCAAAGATACTATTCCCTGTAGTCATCCACCACCTATGGGTCTTAGGCTCTTTCCACTCTCTTTTCTGCAATTATACCTGGGCCTTTGAGGAATGGATGTGATACAGATGTCCTGTTCAGGACTGACTATCCTATAGTCTCTTATTTTCTGCACTTTGACCAACTATGGGTTTCTATGTTAATTACTATCATAAATAAAAGTGTCTCTGATAAGGGCTGAGAGATGGCATTAGTTTGCAGATATAACAAGTCATTAGGGATTGCTCTTATACTATGTCCAGTAAGTAAGTGGAGTAACTGTAGTAGAAATCAGTGGTCAGTTTACTGAAGGGCTATGTCCAGAGATGAAGAGGTTGTCAGTTATATAGCCTTCTTATAACTACCTTAGAAAACGTTCCAATACTTAATGGTATGAAAAGGTATCTACCTTGTGACACAAAACTATCTCACAGTTTCTGTAGGTCAGGGAACTGTGCCTCTGTTTCTGAGTTGCCACAAAACTATAATGAAAGTACAGCTTGGATCTGTATTCTTATCATAAAGCACATTTCCCAATTATCTTTTTACCGGGTTTCAGCTTATTGGTATACATTAAAATATCTTGAAAATGTAGAATTATTCATCCCATATAACTTTAAAATTATTTTACATTTTATTGCTACATTAGTTTTAAATACTTAGCATAATACTCTTAATTTTGCCATAAACATTTAAAAATGCTTAGAGAAAGAAAAATAATTTATTTAAGTCAGAGACATAATTTCCCTTCCTGTTTTCTTTTTTTTCTGTTAATATAAATTTACATGTGATATAGTTCATGTCTACCTTAAGAAGTACTTTTTCATTCCTTATAATACCAATACTTTGGCTATGACTTTGACAACTCTCATTTATTATATAGACATTAAAGATTTACTGTTTTATTCTATGTATGTATGTTTACCTGCATGTATATATGTTCATCATGTGCATGCCTGGTGTCCACAGAGTCTAGAAGTGGGCATTGGATTCCCTGGAACCACAGTTACAGATGGTGAGCTGCCATGTGTGTGTTCAAACTGAACTCAGATTTGCAATAACAGCAAGTGCTCTTAATTACTGAGCCTTCTCTCTGGCTCTATGTTATACAGGTTTTAATCTGTCAAAATTTAGGGGAGTCCACCATTTGATGGCTGAGATCCTGCATCAAGGCTTTGTGAAACAGAAGATCCAATGTGTAAGTAAACATATGATGACATGCTCATTGGAACAGATAACATATTGAGATAAGGAATGACACTGGAAACCTTATAGTCCTTCTAAATATAATTTCTTTTCAGCAGAAAGTCATTAAATTAATATTATATAGAAATTAAAGAATTAAATTAAGAGAATTAACATCATTGTTTTAATATTTTATTAATATGTCATCATTAACTAACACTGATCCAGGATACTAGCAAATGGTTCCGTACATATTTAGGAGTAATTATGATTGCTTATCTCTCCAAGAATTAGAACCTCAAATGCCAACTCTAAGAGAAACTCTAAGAGACTCTTTACTTCCCAACTTTGCACCACTGCACCTTGAGTTTCTTGGGTAAACTGTCCATCATACTCATTGGAAGACTATGTTTTTCTGGGATATGGTTGGGTACATGAACCAAGACTGCTTCCTGTTCTGGCTTGTCTAAATATTACTTCCTTTACTTAATATTTTATGAGGTACAACTAATAGTTTCCCAGACTTCAC